ACACACACACACACACACACACACACACACACACACACACACACACACACACACACAGTCTCAGCAAACAGACTGATTAAGGAACTCTTTGGTGACATTATAAAAGGGTATTTCCCTTGACAAAAAGAAGTCTATCACCAAGTTCTTTTTAAACAATGGGCTGCCCGATGCTTTAGGAACAGTGTTCAACATACAGAGATTTAACTAGCACATAACACAGGAGCTGAGAATGACGTCACACATCTCGCTGGATCTCGCAGGGCTGGGGTGATCCTCAGGGCTCCTGGAATTCATCCTTCCCTCCAAGGGATCCAAGTTTGCAATGTGGTGACAGGCTGTGTAGGGTGAGGTTGGACTTGCCCACAGAATCTTGGTTTGCTGAAACGGGGGTCTTCCTTGAAGCCAGAACTAGATTGAGGACAAATGAAAGGATGGCCTACTTTGCGTGACAGAGAGGCGGTTTGGGAACTTGGTCTCCTAAGAGAGCAGCGGATTAGAAAGCTGCCTGGTTGAAGGGACTTCAGATAGTTCTTGACCTGGGGGTAGAACCCACAACCCCTCTGATACTGTGTGCAAACATTATATGTGATAGGGGTATTTTCTGGGGGAGGGGTTTAAAGCTTTCTACAGAATCTTAAAGGGGTCCTTGATGCAAATGTCTGCCTTAGATTCACCCTGAGATAGTAGGTCCATGCAGGTGGCTCTGAGGGGCTGGGGATGATCCCTGCTTTGTTTGAGGTCAGTGTCGGGGACAGTGGCTTCCTCAGCAGGTTGTGGCCAGGGTACCCTAATGCCTGCCGCACCTCTTCTGTCCTAGGAGGATGAAGAAGGCTACAACGACGGGGAAGTAGACGACGAGGAAGACGAAGAAGACGGTGGTATGGCAGCCTTTTTACCCCTGGCTGGTAGCGGCCAGTCCCTTCAGCTGGCAGTAGCTTGCGTAGGCCCCGAGGACCTGGCAGAGGGCAGAGCATGCCTGTCTGAGGCCCAGGCGCCTGCCTGGCTTTGCAGATGCCCTGCCTCCATTTGCCAGGACGGCAGAGCTTCCTAGATGTGTTGGGCCCCTGGTCTCCAGCGGGCGGACTGAGGTAGAGGTAGGGCCCTGTTTAATCTAAATGCCTTTTCCTTGCTCTTCCAGAAGAAGAGAGGGGTCAGAAGCGAAAACGAGAACCTGAAGATGAGGGCGAAGACGACGACTAAGTGGATAACCTATTTTGAAAAATTCCTATTGTGATTTGACTGTTTTTACCCGTACCCCCCC